GAGTCTCCTTTCCCTCCAACGTCCTTGGGTATCTTGATGCAGTCCTATGAGATGTTCTCCCAGATACAAGAACATTCTTCCTGTACTCTGACACTCTAAGCACTCTAAGCTACTTTGTTCCCTAAACAAATTCAATTATTATTTAATACACATATGAAGAAAGTTCTTTTACATGGAGTTTACTCTTAACTTCTAATTATTTCTGATCAAATTAACACCAATTTAAATTTACTTTTATATGAATAACTCTTATGGGCAAAATTATACCTTCCTCTCCTCATGGACCCCTCCAAAAACATATTGAAGTCCTAATTCTCAGTACCTTTAGATATCAGTTTACTTAGGAATATTGTTTGCAAATTTAATCAAGTTAAAATTAATTCATACAAGAATGGGCCTTAATTCAACATGTCTGATGTCCTTATGAGAATAATAAACTTGGACACAGCACAAGGAGAGTTTCATGTGAAGATACAGAGACATAAAGAAGTAGAAAGAAGACAGGAATGTGAAGACAGAGACAGAGACTAGAGTTACTGTTGCATAACCAATAAATGCCACATGGTATCAAATGATGAAGAGGCAATGATATACTCACAACTTCAGTTTCAAAGAGAACTTGACCCCACAATTTCCTTGACAATAGATTTTCAGCTAAAGTTGTGTAAAAATAAACATCAGTTATCTTAAGCCACTCAATTTGTGCTAGATGTTATGTCAGCCCTAGCAAACTAATAGAGTAAGTTTGCTATGGAATGTCATTCAACTTTTTTTGAATTGTAGTTCTGACAAAACATTAACACCAAAATAGTATAAAAGGGGGGGATATGACCCTCCTGCCTGTGTATTAAATATTTCCTTTGACATATGTTTTATACCTTCATAGTGTCCAGAACACTTTTGTATAATTGAAACTCCAGCATGTCCTATTGATCTGAATATTTCTCTTGGCTGCCTCACTATCCTGGAGTTGAATAATGCATATTATGTTTACTTTTATGGCGAGATCCTTCACCTTCATCATATTTGTTAGTAAAAAAAAAGAGGTAATAAAGTCATAATCTTAACATTTATTCCAGTTTCATAACTGGGAGCTATACATCAGTTCCAAGTGGGTCAGTCATTGTTCTTGGTGGAAATAATTACAGATAGGCAAGCCGATAGCAACAGCAATGAAAATTCCAGCATGTCAGGGTAAAATGGATGAGATTATTTTGGAATATTTACCCATGAACATTCTAGGAAAAACAATGACTGACCCACTTGGAACCGATGTACAGCTCACAGTTATGAAACTGGAATAAATGGCAGGATTGAGAAAAATAAATAAACAAAAACCAAATAAAATAAAGGCATGCTGTCCATCTACAACTATAAAAAATTAAAATAAAAAAGAATATTAATGCTGCTCCTTTATCACTTTCTCTTTTTTCTGTTAGTATGAACATCTACAACACAGGGAATAAACATTTGATAAAAATGAATTTTATGTCCTGCATATAATCGATGATATTACTAGTATGAAGAATCTAACATTAATACTATTTATGACATGTTAAAATGAGGTTACCGCTATGTGAACATTCAACTGAAATTATGCACTAGGAAATTAAAGAAAATTATCAAATCTGCTTTCTTTCATTTTTTTCTCTCAAGAAATTATCAAATGAAGCTGGCCAGATGTTAGAAGGAGAATTTTAGCATGAAGTCCAAGCACCTTGGAGTGAAATAACACTGCTTGAAGCATAGCTTTCAGACAGTTAAAAAATAGATTAAGGTTGGTTTATTAGTAAATGAATGAAAAAAATGTTAATAATAAATAAGAAAAAAACTAAAGGGACAAAATGACAGCAGAAGCAAATTTCACTTAATTTCTATCAAAGGTCACCTTCATCCCTTCCCTTATAAAAGGTGAATGAATATAGCAGCTACTATGTATCTCTGATAGCATTTTCTTCCAGAGTTCTAATTTTCACCCAAATTTTAGTATGGAAAAAAGTGGGAAAAATTATAATAAACTGATTTAGTGCTTGAGAAGTTCTGTTCCCTTTGTTCTTACTAGTTCTGTTTCTCTCATGCTGTTTCTTTACATGGGAATGAGCAGAACAAATAATCTGCATACAAGGGAGGCTGGTCTTTTCATCTTAAGATTTCTCAGCTAAGCTTATTGTTAGCTTCTCTCTATTTTCTTTCTTTTTTATTTATATTTTTTAGTTGTAGATAAACCTTTATGTATTTACTTTTTTATTCATTTATATGTGGTGCTGAGAATCAAAACCAGTGTCTCACACATTAGGCAAGCACTCTACCACTGAGCTACAACCCTAGTCTATTCTCTCTACGTTCTGTTGGCTGTTTTAAATTGTTAGTGTTCTATCTATTAGGAAAAACTGTCAAGCAATTTGTAGCAAAAAAACTTTAGTTGTTAAACATCAGTTTTCTCTCTCAATAGCCGAGGGAAATTGAGAAATTAAAAATAGTCCTAGTTTAGAGGAAAACAACAAGTCAATAAATCAGAAATGCCTCCATACAAGGAAGGGAAATTATGCGTAGAGTATGCATGAAAAACTTTCAGAAATTCTTAGAGATCAAGAAGAGTCTGAGAGAAATTCAGATATAAATGCAAAGAAAATAACCCCATGTGTAAAAACGAGAAAGATAGTGCCACCTACCAATATATAAAGGTGGATTCATCAGGGTATAGAATATGAGAAACAAATGTAGATTTGCTTTCCTTAAAAGTAATTTTTTTTCTTCCAAGATTTTTCCTTCTTTCTCTTCTTCCTTCTGACCATAAACTCCTTCACTGATGGAAGTCCTGACACTGTCATCTTCTTCTTTAGGTTACTGAGTTTCCTGGCACATGGTCTGATCTCAACTATTTTCTAGTCCTTTTCTGGCCACAGTCTGGCATACAGTACTTTGGACACCAAAAAGCATAAGGAGAGGGCTGATGGCCTCTGATGCCACATGATTTCCTAAAACTGCAAACCTTTAAAATCTGTAGCCTCTGATTCTACTGAATCTGTTTTTTGACTGAAACCAGCATGTTTTCAGGGTCCTGCCTGAGTTTCCCTATTCTTCCCTGAACAGAAATACCCAAGCTTTTGGATTGACCATATTCTAGGGAGGTAACTTCTAATTATTTCAGTCATGTTCCCAGTTTTCAGGTTTTGTTATCTTTCCTGTCCAAGAAAACTAATTATGCTGAAACTTTTGCATATAAGTTTAATGGTTGAAATCTTTGCAAATAAGTAGTAATTCATATCAAGGTCATGATAGTCTAGTGAAATCTGGTCATCCTCTATGTAGTTATGGTTTTTAACTTTATTAACACATTTTATTGGATAAAACAGTGTGTCTTATTAAATTGTATCCATTAAATCAGAACAGAACATAATTTATAGATCTAAATTTTATCTGTTTTACATCTCATACACTCATGCCTCAGGATTTGCAATGGGTTTTCCTAGTGAAGACTTTTTGGTTTAGCCTATTCAAACCTATTTATCTGTATTGAATTACCACTGTAACTCTTCTATACAACATTAATTTACTTTTTTCAAAAGTTTGTTTCTCTTCCCATAATGCTATTTCCAAAACCGTCATCTTTTTTAACCCTTGTTGTTTATTCTCCTTGAGTTCCTTGATTAAATAATATTGGTGAAGCACAATTTAGCTTTTAAAATCATTTTACAAAGGAATAGAATGTAGAAATTGAGATTAATTTCTTTTTTTCATTAACAGATGTGGAAAGTAAAAGTCATGTATAAAAAATGCCATTTCTTTAGAAAATATTCAGTCATTTGAATTAAATTCACAATAGTTTATAAATGAAATGCCTATATGACAAGTGACTGTGTCTTTGACTTACTGTAATTTTTTTCAGCTGCATTCATATTATATTCCCAACATAGATCTATCAAGTACTGAGAATCAGGATCAGGATTTAGTTTGTTTCTCACACAGACATATAATAAATTTGTGCTATTTTAATAAATGTTATCTGATGGATTGAAGTATAAATTTAATATTAACTGGCACAAATCATCAAATGTTCTGACTTTTTTCTCTAAAATTGAGAGTCAAAAAATCATTTCATTATATTTACTAAATATATATTTGGTCCTTTTTTTTTTTTTTTGTATTGGGAATTGAACCCAGGGACATTTTACCACTGAGCCAAATCCCCAGCCCTTTTTGAATTTTATTTCGACTTAGGGTCTCGCTAAGGTGTTTAGGGCCTTGCTAAGTTACTGAGTCTGGCCTCAAACTTGTGATCTTCTTGTCTTAGCCTCCTGAGTCAATACACTTACACTTTCCATATTCCAAGCAATGAGTTGGGTATAGAAGCATTATTCCTGCTTCTAAAGGTTTTACAGTGCAGTGAGTTAGAGCATGAATGAAAATATTAACATCATGATTGTCCAGTGAGTAATTGCCAGTCAGTGCTTATGAAGTGCTTAGGAGGCAGAACAGGTAAGGACATGCCAACTCCTTACATGGAAAGCCCCTTTCCAGTGGAAATCCAAGCCTTAGATATCTTGAAATTTGTGTGAAAAGCTCACAATCTCTTTCCAGGCCTAACAGATTACCAGGAACACATTCAATTCACAGCAAATATTGTCTGAATTACGCTTACAATATTTTCTTTATAACAGCAAACTATGAGAAGCTCTGAAATGTAATATTTTTTAAATATTTGATTCATTTTGCAAACAGCACCTGATCTGCTATAACGTAGTCTATAATTGCTATATATCCCTCTTAATGTGACTATTATACCTTTTGGGTATAGAAATATTAATGTATTTGATTATGGGATACTGCCTTGGAACCTATTCAGAGCATCATATAATATTTGGTATTTGTACAATATTGCATTTTATTGCAAATATATATATTGAGCTTCAAAATCCATGTGCCCTAAAGGATCTCAGGAGATAAGAATCAGTTCTTATTTGTGATACAGCCAGGAACTACAACCTGCCCCAACAGACCTTTCTTTGAATTTTCTTCAGGCACGGAAACTCTTGCCACATCATTTTCCTGCTAGTTCACAGCTGTCAGTTTCAAATCCAGGATCAATTGCAAGGCAGGTCCAGGCAGCATAGAACATTCTGAGCAGAAGGACTGTTAAAAAAGACAAAGCCGTGTTTTAAAATTTGACTTGTAAGCCAACTGTAGCCCCTTTACAGATACACAAAGCGAAGCCCAGGATATACACTGACTTCTCTGAAACAGAGACACCCACGGAAATGAAATTTACTCAAGGCCAAAGGGCTTCAGCATGATGGCATGATGATAGAATGAATGAAAATGATTTTGTATACATATTCACTGTTTTTCCTGATCATTTCCCTTGCGACTGTCACATTCTTCTAAATTTCTATCTTAATACACGAATATGCATCAAATTTTCATTTGAATATACATATATGTGTGGATATATAATTTAATAGTTTATCTAAATAATTTAGCATTTAAAAAAATGATTAAATCAAATTACTATTAATGAATATTAATATCATAGCATTTCTTTCACAAAATATAAATTAGATTTATAATTTTCTTAATCTGAATTTGCCTTAATCTAGGAAATATGTGCATTTGTTTGGCTCTCCAAATCAGTGACAAATTGAAGGAAACAATTTTTTTTAATTTAATCATTTACTTTTTGTAGTGCTGGGGATTGAATCCAGGAATTTAAAGAAACAATTTAAGGAAAAATAAATTTAATGGACATTGTCTATACATAAAGAGTCTAGATCGCACACTGTTGTTTTTTTCCCCTACTTCATATAACATAATTTAAGATTTCATTTTTTTTAGTAAGTTGCAACTACAACTTTTCTTTTAAAAAGAGAGAGGAAAAAAAATGAGGCAAATCTTTGGGTCCTTTAAAAAATTAATCTTGAGAATTCAATTTCTTTTACCTCTTAATGTCTTAAGTTTCAATCATCTCTTTCATTTTTACAGAACAAGAACAGCAGTTTTCCTTAAATTGCTGAATTCTATCTAGTTCAATACATTTTCTACCTTAGGCCTTTCTTGAGCATCCTATGATTACCAAGTTGTACAAAGAATAAAAGAGGCTTTTACTTCTCAGCTGGATGAAAACAATAAGTCATTGCACTCTGGCTTATTGTTGAACTTTAGAAAAGAAGTACAAACAGAAATTGTCTCTGGTAATTCAACCTGACACATTCCAAAGACTTTCAGGGTGAATTTAAACTCCACCTCATTCTATTTCTATAATCCGTTACACCTCATTCTATTTCTATAATCTATTACACCTTACACTGAAATTTAACATAAGGTCCATTTAAATAATTTTAACTATATATATCGAAACTCAGAGAAACCCAAGAGAGCTTTGTGTTTGTTTCCTCATTTGTTTTGGGAGGGCACACTATTTATTTGTTTATAATATGGCAAAATATGATCTATAAGACAGAATTTAAAAGGTTAGGGCTCAGTGTAGACCACTTGCCTAGTATGAATAAAGCCCCAGATTCCATCCTCAGTATTGCAAAAATAATATTTTATATTAACAGTTCTCTAAAAAACATATTAAAGAACTAAAATCATATATTATTAACTAATAATTTGTCATAATTTTAATCTTGTTATAAATAATAGTAATGTAGTTTAAAATGTGATAGATTAAATATAATGTACAAGCTAATTTGATGAATCATGCTACTGTGACATAATAGTACAGGGTTAGTAGTTCTGTGTACCATGTATTAAAGCACTCTGTAATATACCATCAGATTATGCATGAATCTTGTTGTTACCATATAGAGACCTATATGATTTTTGTTTCTAAATGTCTCTCATCTAGGCTACAATGTAAACTTCATAAAAGCAAGAACTGCATTTTATTGTTCAAATTTTTATCTGTACAATTCTTCATATACGAAGTACACAGATAAGAACTATTTCTTGAATGAATGAAAAGGTCCTAAGGAATTTGATCTGATTATTAAAAAATCTATAACTTCCTCCATGTCAGAAAACATTAGAGATTATTATTATTTCATGTAAAAGATGAGATGAAATTGCTTGTGTTTCCTGTGTTATGTAGAACTGAGATAAAAGACAAGAAGTTTCAGAAAGATAGACTTCGGCTAAACATAAAGGAGATTTTTCTAAAATGTGTTTGTAATAGAATCATTTGGTGAGTGATGTGCCAAGATCCCTAACAGAAATTTATCAAAGAAAGAATAGTTACCAGTTCACGCTGAAGAAATTGGGTTTTTAGATTAAACTGGGTTTTCAGATTGTTTCTAAGATCATCTACAGAATTAGATTTTATGATCAGTTGATATTATTATCTAATATCAAATAAGAAATTAGAATTGTTATATTTTACTCAATAATGAACTTTTAGAATTATATTATTGACACAGTCAATGAACTTAGTATTTTGTAGACTCTATACCGAATTTAGAAATATTTTTATAATATATTTTAAATAATCTGGAATTGAAAAGGCTTCACAAAAGTGAAAATCAATTACTAAATTCAAATGTAATAATATGTTTAATTAGAAAAAGAAATATCACTTTGATAACATGTAAATTCATTTGAGAAAGACAAATCTTTGAATCTCTCAGTTTTCTGTCTTACATTTCAGAGAAGGGTTCTGAACTTAAGTCAACATTTTCAACAATGGTGCCCGGCCTAATGCATTTGCTAATTGATTCTTTTCATCTATGTGGTCTTTGAAGCAGAGCACATTCACACTGTATCACTGCCTTTCATATTTGAATAATATATGATTGACAATAATGCCTGCCTATACAACTGTATGGAAGGAGCTCCAGTAGTTTTCTGACATTCTCATCTGTCTTTCTGGAACTTGTATGTCTGAGAAACATTTGCCTTCACACTGCCACTCAGACTCACAGCCTGCCAAAGACTTGTTTCAAATTAACAACCTCATGTCAAAGGGATGGTTATATATCATGTCTTTTATGTTTCCAGAACTTGCTTTGTTACTTGCAGTGTGCATAACTATAAAAAAAAAGATAAGAAATTTCAGAAAGACAGTCTTCAAGTAAACATAAAGAGGAGTTTTCTAAAAAGTATTTATAATAAAATCAGTTGACAAGTGTTAGCAACTGCAAAGTTGGGGAAGGTTATATCATTGTTGCCCCAAAGGGTTGGTGTTCTAGCCTCACTGAGTTTGAGATGTGGTTCCTACTCCACTGAACTTGAGCATTGATATGAGACTTAATTTTATAATATGTTAAGAAGTGGCCTTTGTTAGTACTAAGTAGAGAGTTTAAGAGCAGGCAAATGGTCCCTTGTTCCCATGTCACAAACTTGCAATGTTCTGCATAAATATTACTCTCCTCAGCCTGGACCTAAAGTAAAGATACCATGAAACTACCACTCTTCTAGGAGTCAACCTGGAATTGATGTTGAGGGAAAATTGTCCTTTGTTGTGAATTACTGAGATTTAAGGGCTTGCTTCTTACCAGAGCATATTCTTATCCATCATGCTTGATTAAAAAGTACCCAGGCAGAGAATGTGTATTCCATAGATGTGGATGGGACAAAATCACAATCAAGCTGTGTCTGTCCCTGGAATCAAATTGTGGAGAAGCAAAATGGACAAGGGAGTTACTATTTGACCACGCAAAAGTGGTGGGCCTGAAGGAGTTCAGGATGAGTCAGAGGGAATTCTCCATCAGTGGAGTAAGAATTAAAGTAAAATGTATAATCACCTTGAATGGAAAATGAAAACTTTGCTAATTTATGTGATTTAACCACATGATTATTTTGGAGGAGAAGAGATCATACTGCTGTAGAGAAAGATATTAGGATGAGGATTTTGGCTTTAGAAACATGGAGGAAGTGACAGCTTTTAAGGACAGGAACAGGAAGAAATAACAGAATTTTGAAATGTGTTGCATGAACAGCCTGGATGTGGGAGAAGAAAAAAAAAGAGTAAGGTTTGTTAGTTATGCCAAGGTAAAGTGGTTGGAAAATGAGCATCTCACCAAATGGAAACAGAAAGAACACAGATAAGGAAAGACAGAGGAGGGGAGAGGATAACTAATAACTTTTCTAATAACTTGACATAATGAATTTGTTGCAGTAATTAACATGTAGTCCACAGTATTCCTCCCATTATTTGCATGCAGGTTAAAAAATAAATAAAAAAGGAAAGGCCATTACTTTGTATTGCTTTGAAAGCATTTATTTTATGTGTGAAAATTAACATAGCACTTGAATTCTATGTACATATGGAGAACTTAGTTTGTAAATAAAAATACTTGAGCGTTTTTCACCATTAAAGAAATATTGAGGAGATATTAATAAAACATTAATTTTGTTTATTTCTTGGGGCACCCATTTCTAAAATAGTAAACTATGGAGCAAAATTGAAGGTTTTTAGACTACTAATCTGAGTTTATCTACACAATACTCAGGAGAAGATAATAGCCCACATTTATTTGAAAACAAATAGAGATATTGCTATAACCTAGAGATTGCTAACCAAATGAAGAAAAGGTATTTTAAGGGGGAAAAGGAGAAAGACTAGAATATGTTTTTATGACTATATCTAAACAATCATATGTTAACAAAGAAAAATAGAGCTATCACTATCAGGAATTACACATCTTTTTAGGGGAAATACCCCTTTTCAGAAATTTTTAGACATTTCCCAGTCATAAATGATGGAAATATGCAACAAGTAAGAGGAGCTGGAGGCAGGCTGACCTCACTCTCTAGCTGCACCCTCCTCCCCTTTGCTATCTGAAAAAGTGAAGACGATTATGGAGTGTGGATAAGTAGATGTCTAGCGACATGAGAAAGCATTTGTTTTATTATAAATGAGATGCTAAGATAAACTGATAGGAGTACCTGTCATAGTTGGTGACATCTCATTTAATCATTTTATCACCCATTCAGTTACTTTTTGAACAAAGGAGTACTTCCTGCCAGGCATTAGTCAAGGTCCTGGAGACTCAGAAACATACAAAACATCCTTTCTCTAGTGGAGCTTACAATCTAAATTAGAAAAAAAATACTAAAAAAATTAGTGTTTTCCAGATTATATTGAATAATATGAAGAAAAATAGAGAAGACAAAATTTTCGTGACATCTGGAGCAAAACTGGAACTATTTTGATCAGACGTGACAGCATTTTAACTGCCTGTGAACGATGACATAAGAGTCCTAAGCCCTTGGGTATATGGTGCTAACCAATAAGATGAGTAGTTCTGTGATGAAACTGGTCCTAAGGGGGTAGGGGAGTGGGGCAGTGGTTTTGCAAGTGGCACCACACTCTAGGGCTCCTTTGAATTCTTGTTGGTAGAGGGACAGGGGCGTGGAGAACACAGATCTCTGGGTACCAAGAGCATTCTCAGAGCACATAAAGATGTGTAGCTGTCTCAACAATTGCGAGTGTGAAGAGCTTAGAATTTTTTTTTAAAGAAAATAAATGTTCCTCCCATGTTCTCATCAATTCTTGATGTGAGGTGAGCCACAGCATGGCTTGTATAGCTGGTAAAAATGTCTGAATGAATAAAGTAACTTTCAAAAAAAAGCATTTAGGCACATCTCAGATCACACACTGAAGAAAACTCTCAACAGCTTTATATAGGTCTCATCTAAGCACACATTCAAATCTGAGCAGACAGCTCTAGACTTAAGGTCATCAAGACTCATGGAGCTGATACTAGAGAGGCACAGAGCCACATAACTGAATCCCCAGTGGAATGTAGGAGTCACAGAATTGCCTTGCAAATGTTGTTATTATCATTTGTTTATTTAATTCCCAATAATCCATTTTTATGCACACTTGAGGACATTAAAAGAAAACAATAAATGCCATTTCATATGTCCTAATATTGAATCTTTTTTCACCTCTATTTTCAATAAAGTAATAATGTAATAAAGATATTAATTCCACATTTATGTCTTTACTTTAACATTACAGGGTTTTCTTGAGAGAACTAAATAAAATACAACAAATAAACAATATTTCAAATATTTAAAGCACTGAAATTATGAATATCATTTTTGTAAATATTTATTTTTATGATTGGAATTTATAAGGAGTTTCTCACAAGTGTTTTAGTGCAACATTTAAATTTTGTGTTACTGCTACAAAATTAATTCCAAATCAAAATCTATCATATCTAAAGGTTATATCTAATTTTTGAAGGTGTGCAATGTTCCTATTGAAAGTGAACATGTTTTTGAATGTAAATAAAATATGAAGTCTAAAAATAAAATATAAAAAATGCATAAAATAGGAAGAAAAATAATATGTGTATGCTGTAGACTATTATAACAGGAACTTAGTCTCTATAATGTATGTAATGTTCTCCAAGTAGAATTTAGTGGATTCTTGAACTTTTTGTTTTGTTCTGGTACTGGGGACTGATCCCATGATGCTTTAATACTGAGCTACATCCTCAGAACTTCTGATTTTTAATTTTGAGACAGGATCACTCTAATAAGTTTCTGAGGCTGGCCTTAAACTTGTGATACTCCTGCCTTGGTCTCCCAAGCTGATGGGACTAAAGTTTGAGCCACTGCTCCCAGGGGTCCTTGAACTTTGATGAGAAAAATAGCACATATTTATTTTTATTAAATTTTAATGGAAGTATGCTTGTCTATACTTCTCTCTCTCTCTCTCTCCATATATATATATATATATATATATATATATATATATATATATATATACAGAACACAGGAGGATTATCACTACCTGACTGTCTCGAAATTGTATTCACACATATTTTCATATATTACAGTTATTACAGTTACCCTTGGTCACAATTTCACTTGCCATGTGATCCTCATCAGCACACTTACTAGTTCTTTTTAGTTAATCTATTAGCCACAATGACAGATCATCTCACTGTAGTTAGGCTGACTATTATCAAGACCAAAACCAATAAATGCTGATGAGAATGTAGAAAAAGAAATTCTTATACACTGCTGATGGGAATGTAAATTATGTAATAGGATGTAATATAATGGGAATGTAATACAACCAGTATGAAGAAGAATATGGAGATTCCTCTATGTAAAAATAGATCTACATATGATCTAGTTCTCCACTGTCTGGGTATTCTCCAAAGAAAATGAGATCAGTACATCAAAGAACACCTGCCTGCCCATTCATGTTAAAGCACTATTTACAATAGCTAAGATATGGAATCAACCTGGATGCCTTTCAACAGATAAATGGGTAAAGAAAATGTGGAATGTGTATGGAATGGAATGCTGTCCAGTCATAAAAAAGGAATGATATTTGTTGCAAAATGGATGGAACTAGGACATTAAGTGAAATATGTCAGACAAATACTGTCTGCTCTCTCACATATGTGCATATTAAAAAGATGTAGATGAACTGTATAACAGTTCTCAGTAGAGGCAGAGAAGTTAGTGTTGGTAAATAGGAAATTGTATAACTGGTATCCAGAGATAAAAGAAATGAGCCCTAAGGATCTACAAAACCTTGAGAGGAATACAATTTACAATGAGATTTTATGTATTTGATGAATAACTGGGAGACAGGAGCCCAATGGCTACAAAAATAAAGTAATATTAAATAAATAGAAACATTAATTACCCAAATTTGATCAATATGTGTTGTATACATGTATTGAACTGACACTGTACTCCATAAATATGTAGAATTATTATGTATTAATCAAAACTGAAAGAATTTTAAAAGATGGAATGTAAACAACCTTGATTTGAAGATTACCCACAGTAGGTACGGACTGAATTATCACACAGTAAATAGCACATAATTTTGTACAATTAAAGTAATAATTTAAAAAATAAATTTAAAAATAATGAAACACATAGCTGCATTAACATTAACTGCAAATTTGACTGTCTCATACTTGATTACTATATTTCAATGTATACCATTTTGTAATCCACTTTATTCTGCTCCAATATGTTTCATGTATTTAATCCAAGGTATTTTATGCAATACATTTTTTACCCTAAGAAAGAATTTGAAAGATTTTTAAGAC